ATTTGATGCGGTAAATTATTTAGTATTTTTATATTTATTTTTAATATTAAATTTGTTTAAAAAATATATGTATTAAATATTCTGTTAATATATTTTTTTTTAATATTTTCTATATTTTTTTGTTAATATTTTATATATTTCTTTTGTTAATATTTTATATTTATCTTTGTATATTCTGTATATATAATTTTTATGTTATGTTTTATGTTTAAATAATATTTATTATGTTTTTTGTTTTGGTTTTTTGATACTTTTATATTTATTTTTTAATATTTTTTAATTTATAATTATTTATTGATATTTAAATAATATTTATTATGTTTTTTGTTTTGGTTTTTTTGATACTTTTATATTTATCTTTTAATATTTTTTAATTTGTATTTATTTTTATATTTGATATTTATTTAATGATTATTTATAATCTAATTATTTTTTGTTAATTTGGAAATTTATATTTGTTTGTTAATTTTTTTGAATCTATAATTATTTATTGATATTTAAATAATATTTATTATGTTTTTTGTTTTGGTTTTTTTGATACTTTTATATTTATCTTTTAATATTTTTTAATTTGTATTTATTTTTATATTTGATATTTATTTAATGATTATTTATAATCTAATTATTTTTTGTTAATTTGGAAATTTATATTTTTTTGTTAATTTTTTTGAATCTATAATTATTTATTGATATTTTTTAATATGAATTGTTATTTAATTATTTCTTGTATTTTTTTAGTTTTTATTTGTTTATTAATTTAAATTTAATTTGTTGTATTTTTGACTTTTTTTTATTAGTTTCTTAATTTATTTTTTATTTTTTAATGTTTTTATTATAATTTGTAATTATTGAATTTTTATTTATTAAGTAATTTTTGTTGTTATTTTTTTATTTCTTTGTTTTTTGTTTCAATATTTATTATTATGTAATTATAATTTTTTTGTTATTATATTTTAAATATAATATAATTTATTTTGCATATAATTGGTTAATAGAAATAACTAGAACTAGAGGTGCATCATCTTCTCGTGGTGAGGCTTCATCTTCTCATGGTGAGCCTTCATCTTCATCACATGATGAAAGGAGACGATCTACAACATTTGCTCATAGAAGACGCGTAGAAGAATATTGTGTGAATGTCATTCATGAGCATGAGCATGAGGATCATGACAAGTATATACAGCAGGGGTATGCTGAGGATGACTATGTTGAGCAAGAGGATGTTCAACAAGAGGATGTTGGTGAGGAAGAAGATGAAGATGAAGATGGTGGAGTCCCAAGAGGTCCACATGACACCTCTTTGCTTATCCATTATACACAACATGTTGCATTTGCCATATGGCAAGACCGAGTTACTCATCAACCTAAATGGTAATTGTTCGTTAATTGTTTATTTACTTTTGTTATATAATTTTATGTTTTTATGTAGGATCAAAGGGAGATCAAGGTGATCTCCCATGGGAAAAAACTAAAACATTTTGGAATGTACCATGAGGCCATTAAGCCTTATATCTCCATGTCGGGCTTGGTTTCCTTAGTGAACATATCATAAAAGTATGTCGATCATGGATTGATCATTGCCCTTGCGGAGAGGTGGCACTTGGAGACAAATACATTCCACCTCCCGATAGATGAGATGAACATCAGATTAAATGACATCCATAATTTGCTCCACCTACCCATCATGGGTCAATTTTGTGAGTTCGAAGAGTTAGAGTATAAGGAGGCTCAATCTCAAATTATGGAGTTGCTTGGCATGGACCACTCCAAAGCTACAACTGAGATGAAATAGACACGCGATCCAAAAGTTAGGCTAAGATGGCTCCGAGAGGTCTACCTGCATCGAGGTGGAGCTTTGGGAGCTTCCTAGGCCTACTTGTTGCATCTGCTTAGATGCACAATTTTTACTAATAAGAGTGACACTCTGATTCGAGTCTCGTACCTTCTTCTCTTATGAGACTTGAATGCCTATGTGAGATATGCTTGGGGAGTAGTGACACTGTCACATACTTATGAGCAGCTAGGAGATGCTAACTTCACTGATGTCAGGCAGATAGTTGGATATTCGACTCATTTATAAGTATATTTTAATTTTGGAAATTTATTTCATATCTTTTAGGAATGTATAAAACAATTTAAGTAATGTTTTTTGTAGAGTTGGATATATGAGCACATTCCTAGCATGGGAAGGAGAGAAGTGTTAGGGAGGTACATAGACCTCGATCCATGAGCTTCACGATACATACCTCCAAGGCATGGTTGGGGTTTGACAGAGGGGCGAACATATCTGGATGGGCTCACTTATGATGCGGTCATCTGGCATCCATACATTTCGCACAAACGTACTTGCCCATTCATGGCCATATGTATGTTTTCGGGATGGATCTGATTAGACGACATGATTCATCGACACCTGCCTGAACGTGTGTTACGTCAGTTCGATTTTCAATAGATCATACCACGGTCACCTGAGAGTCTTCTGATGCCAGACATTCCTACGATTGATCTAAATTGGTTGCGGTATGTAGAGAATTCCATTACTGGTGTCGTTGAAGCTCATGAGCCCTCTGCGTGTGTTGATGGATACCTAATGTAGTTTAGGCGGGTGTCTCACCCGTACATCACTCCAACCGACGACGATGATTGACCCAGTCTTGCACCGCGCATGAGGCGACACCTTCCTGATGACATCTTGGTGCCCCTAGTTCGTCGTAGAGGGTCGCTTGATTCTAGATTGTTGGTATGTCATGAATCCCACTCTGATGGTTGGCTAGTCGTCACAATCCATCACATTTTGCCACACTTCCATCAAGACATCCCATGCCTCAACATTATCCACTAACATCTTGCATTTCGCTTTGACATTTTTCATAATGTGGAATGTACAAAGCATATGATATGTCTCAGAAAAACATTGCTAATGACATTTACAAAAGCAAGGTCTCTATCAATGACAACAATGCGTGGACTGCCCTATGATGTTAATAGTAATCTTTTGAACTTTTCCAATGCCCAAGTGAAATTATTTTGGCATTCACTTGAAAGCAATGCAAAAGCGGTTATGAATGTCAAACCAATTGATGTGACTCTAACAATCTCAAGCAACGGAAGACAAGATTTGTTCGTCTTATATTTTGTATCCATTAAAAAGACAATATTAAATGAATTCAACAAATGCATTGAATCCGGATGTGTCCAAAACAAGTCACTTACCACGTTAGAATCGTCCAAACATCTATTCCATTGTATGTATTTGTCTCTATCTTAGAAATCGTTTGTAAGTGTACCTCGCATTATATATTTTCTTTATTGTGGTCACGTGATCTTCATTATGTTCTTTGAGAGTCAAAAGAATATTTGAGGGTTTTACTTAACTCTTAGTTATGTCAACAAGAAATGATTGTTCAACGACATTTAACTTCCCCGTGAAAGGATGACCAACCAAAGTCTCTGCTAATTCGTGGTTGTGATAGTCGCACATAACCTTTAACACCCAACCTTGTCCTTTAGGTTTACCCCTCAACCTAAATGGACACTCACATTTTCTTGTGCCAAATACAAAAGGCTAAACATCTGGCTTATATTTCCTATACTTCCCACTCCTTTCATAGCCTAACACAATGAATGTCTCTCTTCCAACTTCACCAATTGTTGTGTCAGATCTTATAATCACGACAACAATTCCAAGTTTGAATGCAATATTTCAAACCCATTCAATTAAATCAGCGCGTGATGGGAATATTTGATCAATGGAATACTTATCTGTGTAATCACCCTCACAAACTTCATTTAGAAAAGAAGAAAATTATGACATAAAACTATAATTTATTTGAGAATCGAGAAATGAATAGTTATCCATCTAATAATATTAAATACAACCTACAATAAACATTACAATATTAAAATTTAACAAATAACAAATAACAAATAACAAATAACAAATAACAAATTAAGGAAATATTTTAAAATTAAATTAAAAATTACCAAATATAAACATTATATAAATTAAATCAAAATTTTAAAAAATTAACACATAAAAAAATGTATACAATAAATACAAAATAAAAAAAATATTCTAAACTAAATACTAAATAAAAAATTAAAACTTATTCAAAATTAAATAAAACTTCAAATCATTAACACATTAAAAACTTAATAACAAATAAAAATATTTCATTACAAAATATTAACTACTACGTAAAAAATAACACCTAAATAATTAACTAATACATCCTAAATAACATAAAATATTTTAAATTAAATCAAAAGTTAAAAAATTAAAACATAAAAAATGTATATAATAAATACAAAATAACATAAAATATTATAAACTAAATATTAAATGAATAAAAAATTACTCAAAAATAAATAAAACTTCATTAATACGTATAAAAAAAATCAAAATTCATAACAAATACAAAAATTTAATAACAACAAATTAACTACTAAATCATAAAGAACAAAAATTATCAAAAACAAAATGATTAAAAAAACTTGCTATAAATATTACAATTTAAATAACAAATATAAAAACTTAAAAATATTAAACAAATGAAAACACAATATAATATGTGTTTCTGCTGGAATAGGACGAGGAAAGCTCCTGCTGCTTCCGCTCGCAACAATAACCGCTGCAAGGGTTCAAAAGTTCGTGTGGACACTTACTTGTCGATTTGGAATCTCCAAAACAATAGTTACAGACAATGGACGACAATTCATTGATAAACGATTGAGGGATTTTTATAAAAGACTAGGAATCAAGCATGTAACGAGCTCGGTGGAGAACCCACAGACGAACGGACAGGTTGAAGCGGCTAATAAAGTCATTGTGGCAGAATTGAAAAAGAGGTTAGGAAGTGCTAAGGGGGCCTGGGTAGATGAGCTACAAGAATTTCTTTGGGGCTACCGTTGCACACCGCACGGTACAACCGGAGAGACCCCGTTCAACCTTACATATGGAACAGATGTTATGGTACCGGTAGAGGTAGGGGAACCTACCATCAGACGAGGGATTCAAAGTTTGCAGCATAACAATGATGAACTCCGAGTGGAGTTAGACACCTTAGATGAAAGGAGAGAGGTTGCAATGATTCGAGCAGAGGCCCAAAAAAGACCTCTTGCAAGACTCTAGCCCTTGGCATGTTTAACGGGGTATACTTTTCAAATCTAGCCCCTTTTGGACCATCTCTGTATTTCTGGCCTTTTGGCTGTTCGCCAAGCACGAACGACTTCTTCCCTTCCTTCTTTTCTTGCCCTGAAGTTGAGCTCTGCTCCTGTTGTCGCCTCTTAACAGCCCTCATCTCCTCTATTCTGATGAACCTTGCTGCTCTTTCTTGCAACTCATCATGGGTTAATGGGGGTTCTACAAACAGATTATCGGTGAAAGGGGAAGGCCTCAACGCGGTGGCCAGAGTGCTAATTGTAAACTTCTTGCCTACTCCCCTTACTTGTCGAGCGGTCTTATTGAACCAATCCATGAAATCTCTAAGGCTTTCTCCCTTCTGTTGCTTAATGTTCGTCAACTCCAGGTACGTCAAATTTCGAGCTTTACTAGTAGAGAACTGTCGTTCAAACATGTCCCTCAAGGTAGCAAAATCGTTGATGGTTAAGGGTCTAAGTGAATGGAACCATGCTAATGCTTCTCCCTTTATCGATAAGGAAAAAACTTTGTACCACACATTTTCATTGGGGGAGTAGGTGGTCATAGCGTCAACGAAGGACCTCAAGTGCTCCTCCGGATCACCTGCTCCATCATACTTCTCCAGGACTAGGAATGCTCTCTCTGGAATTTGTTCCTCCATGACCGCCGCTGTGAACGGATGAAGTGCTCTCACTCGGCCGGTTGGGACCGGACGATTTGTGGTCCGACGCGAGCCGACCTCGCTATGATCCTCCCCTTGATGGCGGGCCTAACCCTCACCTTGGTGATGACTGTCACCGGCAGGATTTGTGTCTTCTTCCGAGTCCGACTCCGTTTCCGGCATTTCTACGATAGGTGGTGTTGCAGCGCGTGTGGAAGATTGTTGATTAGCTTACGCCCCTCTAGCCGCATCACGCTCGCCCCTAAGGGTTTCAATCTTTGCCTGCATTGCCTCCATTCTTCTTCTCATCTCATGCATAAACGCTGTCGGGTCCTGCTCCATCCTTATGGCTTCAATATGGTGTCTTCAAAAATCCTCGGCCCCACGGTGGGTGCCAAAATGTTTCTGTTGGAATGGGACGAGGAAAACTCCTGCTGCTTCTGCTCGGGAATGCTCCGCCTCTGCTGATCGGTCATCCTTGCTCTGGTCTCACCGCTTGGATCTTCCTCTCTCAATGCCAAAATGGGGGTGACCTGCAAGAAACACTTCGACGCTCAAGTAAGAATTTATCTCCATAAGTCTAGTTAAAATTAGAAATCAGAGCTTTTACCTTCCTAATCAGTTGTTATTTATAGGGTTTCAAGGAATATAATCCATTAATTTACCTCTTAATGACGATCAATGCAAATCTTAACCACTCCACGGTGACCGTTACATCATTAATTATGCATTTATTGACATTTAAAGGTTGTCTCCAGCAAACGAAGATTGTCTCCAACAAATGACTGGAGAGTTCACACGAGTATTATTCTAGTGGCCGACCGGAAATGATTGACTTCCACCACCCCTGCATGGCCGGTCAGTCTAACCTACTCAGTAGTAACAATATGTATAAAAAATCACATAACACAATTAATGACAACAAAATATTTAAAAATTCATAACAATTATTACAATTTAATAAATAAAACATAAAAAATAAAATACAACGAAAATTATTACAATTTAAATAATGACATAAAACATTAACATATTATAATTTAAATACAAAATATTTTAAACATATTTATTGTAAAAATATATATGACGAAATAAAAAAACAACATAAAACTAAAACATCTAAATAAAAACATAAAATTAAAACAACATACAACTAAAACAACATCAAACTAAATATAAAAAACAACGTATAACATTATATATATATATATATATATATATATATATATATATATATATATATTAGTTTAAAACTAAAACATGATAAAACAAAAACACTCAAAGTCGAAGTGCGATACAAAACATAACAAATAAAAAACACATTCAAATATATAAACGAAGTTTGAAGTTGGAAATGCGTTCACCCTCAACCGAACTTCGAAGGTTGAGGGCTGTTGAAATTCAATCTGCGACAATATAAAATCCGTGTTAGAATGCTGGTGAATCCTTAACCGTAGTTCCAACATCACTTAAGGTGTTTACATATTACATGAACTAATCCCAGTGTCTTTATAAACTCTGTCACCACCTTCGTCTCCACCTTCCTCCTCTAATAACTACAACAAAACACAAGCTCTCAACTTTCAACTCAGGAAACAATGAAACAGTATAAATGAAGAAAATAATACTAAGTAAAGAAGTGAAGAAGTGAAGAAAGTGAAAAAATAGGAAAAGGGTGTATGTTGAGTTTATACAAACAGAGGAGTTAAGGGTTGTTTGTTGTTGGAAAATCATTAACTCATCATTAAGTTTGTTTTGACTTTAATAAACGAAGAAAAAATATATAAAATGAGAGGTGCAAGTAGAGATAGGTAATGTGCATGGAGCAACACTCATCGTTAATGTGGTTATTTCTGCTGACAAAGATGATAAAATTCATTCAAAAGCTTACATCTATATTCTCTTTCTACGTATTTTCAATTTTAAATATAAAATTTCTTTTTATCAAATCTTCATTTATCTTGACATAAAATCGAGTTTTTAAATAATATAAATGTTAGAATTTGTAATTTTGGGAAGAAAAATTGTTTTGATTGTTTCAAAATGAAATGGGAAAAAGAGAGTGACAGAGAAATTAGATACCTAAAAAAAATTGAACAAGAGAAAAAATAATTATTTATTAAAAAATTACACATTCTTCAATAATATTATGATAATTAATAATAACTATTTCAAGGGATTTGTTAAACACTATTTATCGAAAGTTTTATTACAAGTGACAAATTAAAATTAATTGAAATTTTGCATAAATATACGTGGATATAACATGTTATTTATGTATTACAAATAATTCAGTACACTTGATAAAAGTAGAAAAAATATCCAACATTAATCAAGACATAAATCTAAAGGGAATTTTCATGAGTATTGGACCAACCACAAATTTAAAATTATTTGTATTTTTTCTTTCTAAATTTCATATATTACAACGTGATGTTTAATTCTCTGACTTTTCAAATGTGTTGGTTGATAAGAGGGTTATGTCTCCTCTTTATCACTTGAAGATATCATTGTATTTCCATTTCTGAAGCATACAATCTATCTTGCAATTTCATTTTGTGAATAAGAATTTGGAAGATGGCTGAAGCAGTAATTGAAGTTGTGCTAGGGAATTTGAATTCACTTGTTCAAAAGGAGTTGGGACTGTTTTTGGATTTTGATCAAGACTTAGAAAGGCTTGCCAGCTTGTTCACCACAATCAAGGCTACCCTTGCAGATGCTGAGGAGCAACAATTCTCCAACAGATCTATAAAGGATTGGCTACAAAAGCTAAAAGAAGCCACTTACATTCTTGATGACATTTTGGACGAGTGTGCCTATGAAGCATTGAGGTTGGAGTACCAAGGAGTCAAACTTTGTCCATCAAACAAGGTAAAATGCTCTGGCTTCTCCACTTTTCATCCCAAGCGTACTGTTTTCCGTTATAAAATAGCCAAGAAAATGAAAAGGATATGCGAGAGATTGGAAGAAATTGCTGATGAAAGGACTAGGTTTCATTTGGCCGAGATGGTTCCCGAGAGAAGAAGTGGAGTAATTGAGTGGCGCCAAACGAGCTCATTCATTTCCGAACCACATGTGTATGGAAGAGAACAAGATCGGGATAAACTTATAGATTTCTTGGTTCATGATGCTTCTCATGATGATAATTTATCAGTCTATCCAATCATAGGTTTAGGTGGACTTGGAAAAACAACACTTTCCCAACTCATCTTCAATCATGAGAGGGTAAGAAAACACTTTGAACCAAGAGTTTGGATATGTGTTTCGGAAGATTTTGGTTTGAGGAGAATGACCAAAGCTATCATTGAAGCAGTGTCTGGGCATGCCTGTGAAGATTTAGATCTAGATCCACTGCAAAGAAAACTTCAAGATCTGCTCCAAAATAAGAGGTATTTACTTGTTTTGGATGACGTATGGGACGATGATCCAGAAAGTTGGGAGAGGTTGAAATCAGTATTGGCTTGTGGGGCGTTGGGTGCCTCCGTTTTGGTCACTACTCGTCTTACAAAGGTTGCTGCAATAATGGGAACAGTGCCACCTCATGAATTATCAAATCTATCTGACAATGATTGTTGGAGATTGTTTAAACGCCGAGCTTTTGTAGCGGATGAAGTACAACAGGAGGAGCTTGTAGTGATAGGTAAGGAGATAGTAAAGAAATGTGGGGGAGTTCCTCTGGCAGCAAAAGTGCTAGGAGGTCTTTTACGCTTCAAAAGAGAGGTAAGAGAGTGGCTCAAAGTTAAGGAAAGCAACATCTGGGGTTTAACGCACAATATAATGCCTGCCTTAAGATTAAGTTATTTGAACTTACCGATACATCTTAAGCAATGTTTTGCTTATTGTGCAATATTTCCCAAAGATGAAAGAATAGAAAAGCAATATTTAGTTGAACTTTGGATGACTAATGGATTCATTTCCTCTGATGGAAAGTTAGATGCTGAAGATGTAGGTGATGGTATCTGGAATGAATTGTACTGGAGATCATTTTTTCAAGACATTGAGAAGGATGAATTTGGCGAAGTTGAAAGTTTCAAGATGCATGATCTTGTTTGTGATCTTGCACAATTTGTTGCAGAGGAGGTTTGTTGTATCACAAAAGACGATGACATACATGCCTTATTTGAAAGAAAAAGAATCCACCATATCTCAGACTATGGATGGGAGCTTCATCCAGCTCAGTTGCATCAAGTGAAATCTTTAAGGACTTACTTAGGAAAAAATGTCCAACTTTCTCCGGACGTGGTGAAACGTTATTCTTTAAGGCTGCTTCAGTTTAAACCACGGAAAGAATTCTTATCTGCAATTGGTGATTTGAAACATCTAAGGTACTTAAATCTTTCTCGTGGTAATTTCCAAACTCTTCCAGAATCCCTATGTAAATTACTGAATTTACAGATACTAAAATTAGACTATTGTTATACTTTCAAAAAGTTGCCGGACAGTTTGGTACGCTTAAAAGCCCTGCAACAACTGTCTCTTAAAGAATGCAAGTTGCTATCACGCTTGACACCTCATATGGGCAAGTTAACTTCCTTAAGGAATTTATCCATGTACATTGTTGGCGAGGGAAGAGGGTTCTTGTTGGCAGAATTGGGACCACTGAAGCTTAAAGGATGTATTGACATCAAACATCTAGAGAGAGTGAAAAGTATGAATGATGCCAAAGAAAGCAATATGTCAAGTAAGCAGCTGAATAAGTTGACGTTGAGATGGGAGGGTTTCAGAGAGGGGGAGTTAGCAAGAAATGACGAGGAGGTTCTTGAAGCCCTTAAACCTTGTAGTCAGACTCTCCAGAGTTTGAGACTGGAAGGTTACCAAGGTGTCAATTTCCCACAATGGATGTCTAGTCCTTGTTTCAAAAGTTTAACTTATCTAAAGCTGTGGTTTTGCAGAAACTGTATAAAACTTCCGGTGTTGAGGAAATTACCTTCGCTAAAGAGGCTGCTGATAGCTGGGGCAAAATATGTAAAATACGTGCAGGAAGAGTCCAACGATGATGA